GTTAATAAAAGCTATAACAGTGTGTCAGTGATACTAAAATAATACTGGTACTTCAAATATGTCCATTTTTCAAAAGGCACAATTAGCCAAAATGAATAATTTTGTCATAAAATTGTGTTGCAATACAATGCTCTATATTGTGACTGTGTAAACGTTCTTTAAATTGCAATTAAGTGAATTCAACTTCCTGTATGTTGTGGCCAATTCAATTCAAATTCACATTCATGAATAAAGAGAGTGTATTCTTTCACTCTGACTTTCTCTTAAACCAGGTTTTCTTTCTCCCGGAGCATGAAGTGAGTTGTTTGACGTGACACCATCAATCTAGACGTCACAGATTGAGTTTCAGAGAGAAGACGTCTGAAACACCCCCACAAAAGACTTCCAGCCCTTCTGTCACTCAACGCAATGACTTCTGGAATTTCAGCGAGACGAGAGAGAGACGCTGCAGACTTCATCCTGCAGTCACACTGGGAAACGCAAACAGAAGAGAAGAGGACAGTGCAGAAATAAAGAGGCTTGTTTTAAAACATGAAACATTTGACGTGGATCAGCGCTCTGTCATTTCTGCTTTATTTCTCCTCAGGATCTGCAGACTACAGGTAAGTGACCTTCTCCTGCTTAAAATCAAACAGCCTCTGTTGTGGAGAAAACTTCAGCATGTTAATGCTCATATTGAAGACATTGTTGAGATTTCTTCAGCATCTCTAGAGGAGAGACACATGTGAGATTATCAAGGTCTTTTCTCAAGAGAAACATCTGAGAAGTAGGATTTTCTTCTTTTAATCTCACTGATTTCTCTGAGAAACGATTGAGATCTTATTTAGGATGCTTTTTTATGGAGCAGATCAATTCATAAGTTAAGAGGCAACAGTAATTAATGTGCAAAAACATTTGGGACCAATGCAACTTTTTTTGATTAAAGGTCAATATTTAATTTTCAATGCTTTTGTAACCATATTAAATGCATAAACTGCAAACAAAAAATAAACAATATTGATATTGTCATGTTTTCTGAAAAAAAAAGTGAGTTTATGCTTAAAAGAAGAAGAAGCAAATAAACTTAATTAAAATGAAAAACAGTATTATTTTTCTTAGCTCATTTTTCAGAAAACAAGACTTAATATCTATAAAGTCTTTTTGCTTCTCGAGTATCTTGATGAATGAATATTTAGATTTGTTTTAAATGGAAGACAAGACAAAAATACACTTTACAATAAGGTTTTGTTTGTTAACAGTCATTAACTATATTAGTTAACATGATTTAACAATCACAAATACTTGTTAAGCATTTATTAATCTTAGTTAATGTTTACTAATGCATTATTACACTGTAAAAAAGTACTGTGAATTTAACGGTAAAAGACTGTAAAAATGCTACAGTAAAAACCTGTTAAATGGTTAATGGTAAATTCCCCTACTATATACGGTGAAAAACTGTATTGGACATTACATGTAATTTTACGGTAGTATACCGTTTTTGGAAGTGAAAAAGACTGTATAATTTACAGTGAATAACCGTAAATTGACTTTCCCAGAATTCCCTGCGTTACATTTCAAATTTGATGGTTTTGTTGTTGAAATAACTATATTTCTTCTTAGTTTTTTCTTATCAGCTTTGTATATTAGGGTTGTGTGTTACACCTAATGTTGTTAAATGAATGCTTATTGCATTATGTGTTACCATGATGGTGTTTAGTGTTTGTATGAATGACAATGTGCACCTTCTATGTATGTTATTATTATAAAAGCTGCTTGTGATGGGCTTTGGTTCATCATGTGACTTTCTCATCACCACCTGCATTTGGTGGTTATCAGTGTATTACAAAGGTACAAAACAGATTTCAGTACTTCAATAGGTTGGTATAGTAACATTATATCAGTTAATGAAATTACGGTATTTAACTGTAAATGTAAGTTAAAACCGTAAAACCTAAAATGTTGCTACCGTATTTTTTACGGTAAAATTCCACAGCTGCCGTTTTTTTACCGTAAATTTTATGCAATTATTTTACAGTGTACAATCAAAAGTAGTACCATTTAATATAATGTATATGAGCTGACATGAACAAATAATGAATTGTTGTATATTTGTTAACGTTAACGAAGATTGATAAATACAAATGTATTGCTTATTGTTAGTTAATGTTAGTTAATGCATTAACTAATGTTAACTATAGGGGCCTTATTGTAAAGTGTTACCAGAGTAAGAAAATCTCTCTCTCTTTTTTTTTAGTGCATTTATTTTGATTGATTGAATCAATGAATTTCAGTAAACCTGAATAAATTATCCTCCTGTTAACTATCAAATCAAATCACTATTAAATGCAAAAGTAGCTGTAAATGATACACAAGCTTGAGATTTGAAATATTTCTGCAGTATTCATGTAAATGGCTGTTGTTGTGTTGGTTTGGGAAGCTGTCGGTGCTGATCTGCCAATGATGAGCTGCTAATTTTGGCCTTAATGAGCCACCTGTTCACACGACTGACTCCCATTTGCTGCTGTACAGAGTTTATTTCAGTCGGTTCACTGATTCACTTCGTCTCTCTGGAGCCCGGTCCAAATTTAGAGACCAACATGAGAAGCACGCAGAATTGCAAACATCTGGAACCAGAGCGAGCATGTTGATCACTTGATGAAAGCAGTTTTGTCTTTTTTTCTGTTGAAAGAGTACTGGGGCAGGTAATGTATCATATATTGCTCAAGGCTTTAGTTGACTTTCTGTTGCTAGGCAGATTAATTAGGGGGAGGGGCTTGCTCATTCTAGGGAGCATCTGATTGGAGGAAAATTTGTGTAGTGCAGGATGAGTCATCAAATTTATTTATTTTTTCAAACTGTAAAATTTGAATTTGTATATTTGCTCAAAGTTATTATTAGTAGTAGCAGTAGTGGTCGACTAATATTGTTTTTTTTTTTTAGATGGCTGATACAGGTATCTTAGAGAGGAGAATGGCCGATATAAAGCTGATATTTATGGTATCTGTCAGACTTTGTTCCGTGTTTTGTGTGCGTCTTGCTCCCCATGTGCCTTCCTATGCCCATATGTTCCTTTGTGTTTATTAAACCCATTTGGATTAATGTACTCCTAGTCTCTCTCCGTTCCTTGCTCCACAGTCAGCTCAGCAGTGCACCCGTGACAGAATACCGGACCTAAAACTGAAAGTAAGCGGCATCCCTTCCCCATGTTTAATTTCCCGCCTTTTTGAAAGTTTTTTGTTTCCTAGTTTCCCCCACCCCCGCGGCTATGGAAATTGCCGCTCGCTTCTCCTCCCTAGCTCGCCTCGATCTCCCCTTCTACGAGTACGCCAGGGAGTTCTGCAAGCTCGCCAGGGTGGCGGCGG